TAAAAAGGATAAAAAGTGCACAGACACTTTCATAAGGCACAGACAGATTGTTGTACAAGTCATTTCATCAGGGACTCGGAAAAGACAGTAAGACAATTAAATACCGAGAAATGCCAGGAGGCCACGTGTTCCTGAGCCAGCGTTCCCCTGCCGGAACTAGGGCAGAGACAGAATCTGCTGTGGGAGTTTACTACCTCCCATCTCCAAGACTTCACATAATCTCATTCTCACCTGGAGCTTACTCTGCGTTCTCCTGGCCTTGGGGACTGATCTCCAGCAACCAGTCCCAGGGCCTGAAAATAGACACATACCCATCTCCCACCTTGCCTGCCTGACATGGTGTGCCTGTGATCACCAACCAGTGGGGCCTTCGGGGATTCTGCCTAAGACCTTTTTGGCAGTGGCTTACTGAGCTGCAAGGGCCCTGGCATATCTAATGCAGAGGAGGCTTTTGAAGCCCCCAAGCTTTTGAAGCGCAGGTTCTGGGTCAGGAGAGCAATTCCTGGGCACTCACCCAGATGGACCCCAAGGCAGCAAAGCCCAGTGGATTCTGCGCTAAATGTCTCAGCACTGTTAATGTTACCACACCTGACATCTGGGGCTGGGGCACGGTCCTCTCTGCTACACCATCCCAGCACCCTGCACCTAGTAAGCACTCAGCAAACGTTTGTTGAATGACTTTAATGTGCGCATGTGTTTGTGGAGCTGTTTTACTAAACCCCTGGCCCTTCTATCTGATCTCAAGTTCAGCAAACCTTCAGTGAGTGCCTACTAGGTGCTAGCACAGGACCTGATACAGAGACACAGAGGAGGGATCAGATACAAGTTTACAATCTCCCCACCTCCCCCTCTGGACCGTGGGCTCCTTGAGGGTTTCACCCTCAGCGCCAGTTTCCAATGCTGTGCTCAGAACACAGTACACGCTGACCGGTGGGAGGTGAATGACTGAAAATGTGTTGTTGCAGTCAGGGTGGGGGAGCAGGTGCCCCCGAGTGGTGACAGCTCAGCAGACTCCCCGTCCTGGGTATGGACTAGAAAAAGGGGCTTGCTTTGCCTCGGAAACAGCTGTTTCTCTGGAGGTTCAAAATGAACAGGCTACAAGCGAAGGGGCTGTCTTCTGGTTTTCCCTGTCCTACCCCTGGAGGCCTGGCTGTGGTGACACAGAAGAGCACATGCACTGGGCAGTGAACCCATACAACAGAAGGCTGGGTCCCGGGAGGCGGTGCTCAGGGGCTGGGCCCTGCTGAGGTGGTAGTGGGACAGGGACACCTTATCTAACAGGAGGAGGCCGTGGGGTTGGAGTCAGGACCTCACATAGCTCAGCTCCATGGGAGGTGGGCCGTGGCAGATGAGCCTGAAAGGAAGGACTCTGGTTCCTTCCAGGGTGTGTACAGTGGAGGGGCCGGGTTCCAGGGCTTGAACCCTGGTTCTTGTTTCCAACTCCCTCCACACAACTGCAGGTGCCCAGGCTCTCTCCAGGAGGGGCTGCCCAGGTGCGTTTTAAAGAAGGCAACTTGGGCAGCCTCAGGCTTCCTGGGACATGGGGCCAGGCAGTGGTGGTGGTTGTTGGTTGCTGTTGAGTCGACTCCAACTCATGGTGACCCATGTGTGCAGGGTAGAACTGCTCCATAGGGTTTTCAAGGCTGTGACCTTTCCGAAGAAAATTGCCAGGCCTGTCTTTCAAGGGCACCTCTACGTGGGTTTGAACTGCCAACCTTTTGGCTAGTAGTCGAGTGCTTAGCTGGTTGCACCACCCAGGCAGTGGAGAGCTGGGACTTGGCACCGGAAGTTCCTGGTTTGAACCCCAGCCCCGACGCCTCCTGCTGCGTGACCCAAGTAAGTCACTCTACTTGCAGGATCTCAGTTCCCTCATCTGCCAAGTGAGGGTAATACGCTACTTCACTGATTCTAGTAGCAGTTTTACAGCTCTGATTGGAATGAATTATAGAGTTGTGGCATTTTACAGTTAAAATCGGCATTTTTTTTTGCCCTTCAGTGGTACATAGAATGATGTGTCTTACAATCGATGGTGCCTTAGATGCGCCTCAGTATGGAAAAAAGACCTGACTCACAGGATGAACGCATGGCGACCCCTCTCTAGTCCAGTGCCGAGGCACACAGTAGATGCAAAATTTAAAGAGAGTAGTTCCCCTTCCTCTTTCTCCTACCCACTTTACAAAATAGAACACAGAGGGGGGCTGTGAACATCTCCTCTGTAGCAATGAATAAATCAGTTCAGAGCATTAGGAAATATCTGCTTTTTAGAAGATAAACACCCCCTTAAACTCCTCTTGGAAACGGTTGCTATTTATAGAGGCTGCAGAGCAGGTTAAACAGGCCACTGGCTCCTTTCTTCCCAGGTAAGAGTTCACCAGGGGCACGGCCTGGTCTACCCCAGGCCCTCACTCACTGGTTTCCTGGTGCTGGTTGTACATGACCCAGGCAGGAACCCAAGGGGGCCACCAGGAAGGGCAAGTGGCAAGAGAGAAGAGCTGCTCCCCCAGGCTGCTGACACCACTGGAGCTTGGGACCATGGCTCGATCCAGGCAGGGGGCCTGCTGTCTGGAGAACCAAAGTCGTGGGGTGGTGAATCTGAGGCCTCTCACACGGGGCCTGTACATGGCCTGTGTGTGGCTCTGCCCACACCCAGCACACGGGGAAAGGTAAGGCTCCAGCTGGCCAAAGTCAGCTGGGCAGTGAGGGCCACCTAATATTCTCAAACTCTTATCTCGGGGGCTCCAACAGCTCCTCAAAAGATTCTGCTGCAAAATTAAAATGAGAGCATTTCCCAAATTCACTATGGATAAACAACCAATAAGGTTCCTGGGAAGTACAAATGGTTAATGCGCTTGGCTGCTAAATGAAAGGCTGGAGGTTCAAGTCCACCCAAAGGCACCTCAGAAGAAAGACCTAGTGATCTACTTCTGAAACATCAGCCCCTGAAAACCCCATGGAGTACAGTTCTACTCTGACACACATGAGGTCACCACGAGTTGGAGTTGACTCAATGGTAACTTTTTTTTTTAAATTATAAGTTCTTGCAGGGGCAAGAGAGTGGAGTTTCTTGAGATGGACTCAGAAAACCAGGATCACTCAGCCAGAGAAGAAATGGTTGGCCCCAGACCTCAAGCATTGCTAGGACACCAGCTGGCTTTACTGGACTTGGTCTCATGAGGTCCTGGCCTGGCTCTGGCACCCAGCAATGGTTTGTTGTGTGCACGCATAAACCTGCAAATGCTCTCCTCTCTCGCCTCCCGCAGCAGATGAACAGGTTGGGAATTGTAATAAAAATGATACCTGTTCTTTGCAAGGTACCTCAGGCTTTTTAGAATGCTGTGCCGATCCTCCCAAGAGCTCTTGAAGTGGGCAGGTTCTAGGCTTCCTTGCTGACAGGCTGGGTACTGAGAAACAGAGAGGAACAGGACTTCCCTAAAGGTCCAGCACAAGACAGGGCAGAGAGGGAACCAGAACTAGGGGGAAGGGAAGAGCCAGCCTGGGTAGCCCATCAGCCCAGGTATGCTCCAGAAGTCCAGGTACCAGGAAATGCAGAGAGGAAAATCACAATGTCAGTATTTTCAGTTACTGTCTCAATTACCAGAGTCCCTGGGTGGGACTCCAAAACAGTTAACACACTAGGCTGCTAACCAAAAGGCTGGAGGTTCGAATCTACCCAGAGGCACCTTGGAAGAAAGGCCTGTCAATCTATTTCCAAAAAATCAGCTATTGAAAACCCTATGAAACATAGTTCTACTCTGACATACATGGAATTGCCATGAGTTGGAAATGACTCAACAGAAACTGGTACTGGTACCAATTATTAGTTAACACTGTAATTATCAGTGAACACCTTAGTAATCAACAGAAGCAAGTAAACTGAGAATCAGAACAGAGCCCAGTTCCATAGCCCTGGCGAGAGCCCTGGCTCCTCCCCTACCTCACTGGCAGGTTGTTTGGGAATACTCACAGCCCCTGGTTAATGCCAGGCCCAGCAGTTACAATGGGAAATGCACTGACTTCTCTGCGCTATGGACTGGCCTTTCCAGCTTCAGGTGAGTCACCTGCCTCCAGGATTCTTTCCCTCCCCAGGAAAAGAGAACCTGCTGCTTATCTTCTCCTTGAGAGGGGAAGGGTGTCACAAAGACTCAGGAGACTAAAAGCTTCTAGAGTCTGGGTCAAGGTGCAATGTGCTTATTGTTAGGCTGTCTCGGGGTGAAAAAGCTTCCGGGGACCACGACACAGCCCAGAATTCTGGACCCCACAGCTTCTGTCAAAATTCCTCTCAAAGACTGAGTAAGAAACCAAAAAAGTAAGTTGTTCTTTTATGTTCCCCACCCACCTTTCCCCAAAGGAGTTGCTACTTTGGAGCTGTAAACAATGAGTTATTTTTTCCTCCTCTAAGAAAATCTGAGTGTTCCTTTTCTATACTAACCAAAGGAGTTCTATTTAGGTTCAGGCTTCGTACATTCAAAACCAGCTATGTCACATCCCCAGAAAGTGAACAATTTCTAGTCACATTAACACCTGGGCTCTACACGTTCCTCAGTGTTAGACAGCCTCCGGGAGCCAGGATCCCTGTCTAAAATACTTAATGCGTTCTCTCACACGCTTTCTCTCACTCACACATTCTCTATTTCTCTCTCATTTTTTCTGTCTCCCTTCCTCTCCTTCACACACACTCAACCCAACCCCAGAAAAAGCATTGCACAGACAGAGGATGCTGCTTCCCTGCTGAAAAGTCACCAACGGACAGGGTGATCTGCCCGGCAGTTTCTGAGCTCACTCTTGGGACGGCCTTTTGGGGACAAAGCACTATCAGCCCTTGCTTGGGCTCAGACCACTGGGAACTCATCTCCACAACTGTCAGGCTCTGCACTCCACTGGGGAATGGCAGAGGAGACGGCCACTGCCCTTGGACTCCCTGGCAGTCATGGTGGTTGCCTGGCCCAGGGGGCTTTCAGAAAGGTGACCTTGCTCTGGCCAAGGCCTGTCGGCGGGACAGGCTACGGCCTGTAGATCTTAATGACGTCCTTGATGGGCCGCCGGCAGATGGGGCAGCAGGCCCGGGCCTGCCTCTTGAGTCGCAGGCCGCAGCTATAGCACAGGCACATGTGTCCACACGTGTAGATGACTGTGTCCACGTCGCCATCGAAGCAGACTGTGCACTCGCCATTCTTGCTGCCTGCTGGCTCTGGGGGTGAGAACACCGGTGACACTGGGGGGCTCAGCGGGGAGCTGGGGGCTGTCACTGCAGGAAGGGAGAATAGGACGTGCTTGAATAATGTTCTCAGGTGGGCTCGGCTGGGACAACCCCAAGAATGCAGATTTTCTATGGTGGAACCCATGGGAGAACAATTTTGGGAGAGATCAATTTTGTTTTTCTTCTTGGTTTTGCCTCTCTCCTCGTTCCTCCTACCTAGTCCCCCTCCCCTGCCAAATAAGCCCACTGCTGTCAAGCTGATTCTGACTCATAGTGACCCTATAGGACAGAGTAGAACTTCCCTATAGGGAAGTATCCAAGGCTGTAAATCTTTTCAGAAGTAGACTGCCACATCTTTCTCCCGCAGAGCTGCTGGTAGGTTTGAACCTCGGACGCTCTAGTTAGCAGCTGAGTGCTTTAACCACTGCTCCTACCCTGAAGCAGCCAGATAAAATGCCACCCTCGTCACCCTTTGAGATGCTGTATCTAGATGTTTCTCCTCCCTCCAGGAGAACATACAGCCGAGGGTAGGAGGGGATGCAGGGGGAAAGGTAGCCACTCTGCTTTAGCCCTGGGAGGCCCGCTGGCACAGCCGAAGAAGCCAGGCCAGCATCAACCCTTGCCCTCCCTCCAGGGCAAGGATTCCCTTACCCAGGGATGACTCAGATGCTGAGGAGGACTGGTTGACACTGAAGGCCATATCGGAATCGCTATCGTCCTGGGAGCCGCTGAGGGATCCTGACGGAGATGTGGTTGCAGGGCTGGACTGCAGGGTGCCTGTGACCCAAAGGGGATCCATCAGAGGCATGCAAGGTTCTACTTGCTCTGCTACTCCCTGGTTCTGCACTGCTTTGTGCCTCAGCTTTCCCACCTGTCTAACGGGAGTCCAAGAGCTACCTCGTAGAGCTCTGCTAAGAACTAATGAGATCTTCTGTGTGGGGTGGACATCTGTTCTTTGCCTGACCAGCATACATTCCCGCTTATTTCAGAAACCGCACTGGGGCTTTCTTTGGGGGCACTACTCCACCTTGACTCACACAATCCCGGCCAAGCCAATAAGAACTTCTACCCCTTGACCTCAGTGGTGGCTCAGAGAAAGGCATGCAACATTGGAAATAAAAATGGCACTGACCATTTATAGATTGCGTAAAGCCTGCCAGGCTCTGAGACTAGCAGGTTACTTAAGTCAGGGGTTTACAATGCCGTGCGGTCCAGGCACCAGCAACGTCAGCATTACCTGGGCACTTGTTAGAAAAGCACATTCTTGGGTCCCACTGAATCCGAAAGCTCAGGTGGAGCCCAGCAATCTTGTGCCTTAAAGAAACCCCAGGTCATTCTGATGCACATTCAAGTTTGAGGACTGCTAGCTTTGGTTCAGCGGGGATACTAACAGAGGCCTAGGTTCTCAGCGAGAGAAACAAAGGACTCCAGGGGCGGGGCCTCGCTCCTGGGGGCAGGGCGGGCACTCACCTAGGAGGCGCAGCTGGCCGGCAGCACCGCCGCGCACAGCGAAGAAGGCCCAGAGCGCTTGCGTGGTGTCGACACACAGCAGGCGGCCGCGCGGGCGCCCGTTGACGCCCAGTAGCACGTCGCCGTCCGGCTGCAGCGTAAAGCTGAGCGCATCGCCGCCACTGGGCACGGGCCCGGCACGCGTCACTACCCAGTACTCCTTGCGGTCAAGCAGCGCGTCAGGGTCGGCGGGCAGCTCGGCAGGCCGAAGTGCGCCTGGGTCGCACGACGTGATGCCGAAGGCTACCGCGCCGGGCGCCGCCAGCCCCAGGCGGCCCACTTCGACGAAGAGGCTCTCGCCGGGCCGCAGCGGGC